TTAATCATGAAAATTTCCATTAAAAAGAATGGAGCAAAAACTACACATTTTCCAATGCAAATATAAATTGTTTTCTTTGACATCTCTGTGATGCATAACGGCACAATCCGCAGTCAGGAATTCAGTTTCACCATAAGTCCCAGCCATAACAGCCCATAGGGCAGAAGCCTATCTCCTGTTTCAGTAGTGTGAGGCAACTTGATATACAAGTACACCTCTTGGACAGGACGCTAGTCTATCTCAATGCCTTACCCCGAATCCATCTGCTTAATGCGGAGTGCCAAGCAGAGATGCATTAGGTCCCGCTTTTTAGAGTCTTTGGTATGACTGAACTGGGGATCGAACCCAACCTTCCAATCTCAGGGCCGACACTAACCTCAAGGCCACTGAGTTGATGGGTGCATTCTGCTTTAAATAAACAACATCCACTGCAGATTGTCAGCTGCTGTAACTCAAAACTGAGGTTTTAGGTTTTCTCCTTCAATGATTTGAGGGCAGTCACTTACCGAAACTGTCTTGTTCACTTTTAATATCTGCAAAACCATGTCTTCCGAGTTGTAAAGGGGTGGCCAGCCACAAAATTAGTTATGTCTGTATGAAAAAAATAAGTATGCACTCACTAACTGTAAGTCGCTCTGGATAAGAGCGTCTGCTAAATGACTAAAATGTAAATGTAAAGTCTCCCATGACAACAAACTATCCCATTGACTATATCCAGTAATAGTTTCTTATTGTTCTAGTTATGATATCCTAATACAGTTACGCTACTACAATCAAGGGGTATACACTGAGTAATCCAAACATTAGTCTTTATGGGTGGCCACCACTCAGTCAGAGCAAAATATTGTCTCAGCCCCACGGTCAGTGCACCACCATATTATCTCTGGCTCGATCCCACACGAAGCAGATGGATTTTACTGGGGGGGGGCATGTTCTCCACAAGGATGTTGTGCAGCTGCTCCCTCATTTCTCTCCATCCAGCCACTGTTTCCCCTTTCCTCCTCTGAGCACTGGTAGTCTGGGTATTACTTGTAGCTGGACTATGGTCCTCCCTTTGGGCCTGAGGAGGTTCCGAGCCGGAGGTGCAGCACTGAGGGACAATGTGCCTCTTTCGCCTCAGAGCCTTACCTCTCAATGGAATTTCCTTTCCCAGGATAAAGATTTTTGTTATCCCAAATTTGGGCATTGTTGCACAATTCTGAAACAAAGACAGTTATGAAGAATCAGATCAAATACATATAGTTGATCACAAACTCTAGGATGGCAAGAAGCCAGCAAATTCCTGTCCACTTTCAAAAGGTATTCACCATATGTCTCTGATGTTTCACAAATCATTTGACAAGGATTATGCAACATTTAGGGCAGGGATCATCAACTAGATTCATAAATGCTTCATGGTCATCCCCTGTAGCTCAGTTGGTAGAGCGTGGCGCTTGCAACGCCAGGGTTGTGGGTTAGATTCCCACGGGGGGCCAGTATGAAAATGTATGCTCTGGATAAGAGCATCTGCTAAATGACTAAAACGTAAAATATGGACTGACAATGCCTCTGTTATGACGGGGATTAACAATGGGGTCCATAAAGTGCTGAAGGAGGAGTATGGCCTCAAAGATCTGGTTCTTATTTGCTGTGTGTGCCACTCTCTGCAGCTTGCTGTAAGTCAAACTTCCAATGACACCATCCCCCGTAGTGTGGAGTACTTGGTACGAGAGACTTATAACTGGTTTTCAGTGTCTCCAAAGCGCAGGGAGGCCTACATATATGAGACCATCAACTGTGGGGAGAAACCTTTACAGATAACCAAGGTGTGTGCCACATGTTGACTCTCCATTGAACCTGCGGTTTCACGCATTTTGGACCAGTGGGAGGAGCTTAGGCTGCATTTCGCAGTCACCAAGTCCAGTGAACACTGCTACATGACTGAGGTTGTATACTCCATGTACAGTGATCCTCAATACATATTGTATCTGACTTTTTTGAAGTCAGTGCTTGGTGAGGTACAGTTGGCCATCAAGGCTTTTGAGGGAGAGCAAGTAGATCCTCTTAAGCTACTTGACAGCTTGGTTAGCCTGATCAAGTCTGTGAGCAGCAAGGTGCTGAATCCACTGGCAAATGTTGATGTACTCAAAGGGCCAATAGATGGATACATCAGTCCCAAACCGTACCTTGGTTACCTTTTTGAGTCAAAGGCAGCTGAGCTTCACCTTGCGCCTGAGGATGAAAACAATGTCCGAAAGCGGTGTGTAGCCTTCACCATCTCCCTCACTAATGAGTTGAGGGTGAGACTGCCGGACAACATCGAAGCATTGCAGTACATGTCAGTTTTCAATGTGGAGGAAACTCTAAAGCACAATAAGAGCCCTGGAGAAATAGAAAAAATAGCCAAGCTCCTTGGCTACTCCCCTGCAGAGATAGACAAGATTGTCCAGCAATGGCGTGCCATCCATCTTAGTAAATGGAATGAGACAAAAAACACACTGGGCTTCTGGAGTGAGATTTGAAAGTTCAGGGATGCAGCTGATATCAACCCGTTTCAAGAACTTGTCATGGCTGCTGTGTCTGTGTTGTCCTTGCCCACACTCGAATGCTGAAGTCATTTTACATTTATATTTTTTACAGAGAGAGTATTCAGCCAGATGAGTGTGGTAAAAAGCAAACTTAGAAATCGGATGTCCTTGCAGACCTTTAACTCCATCCTGTACATTCGATATGGACTGAAGCTGTCTGGTGAGGCTTGCTATGAGCACCAGCTGCCTGATAATGTTTTGCAGCTTTTTGGCACATCAGCTGCTTACTCATTTAAGTCAGCTCCCTCAGTTGCTGAACCTGCCATAGAGAGCCTTGACCAAAATGATGATGACCCACTCTTTCTGTGAGCCAGCACAGCCTGTGTGTGTGTGGAGGGGGGTCTGAAAAAATAAATAAAAATTACCTGAATTAGGGGCAGACGAGTTACCATCATTTTCTCACATTGCCATTGACAGTTTTTTCTATTGTCTCTTTTTGGTCCATTTAGATTGTTAATGTAGATTGTGTACACATTTTTTTTTTTTTATGTTATGGTTAAAAATGTTCATGTTTTACTATGACTTGTTGTAGGCTCCTAAGTGGACCATAAGGATAAAAACCAAACCAAACTTAAGAAAAAATAAATAATAATAATAATTAAAAAAATAAATTAAAAAAAATAAGTAACTCCGCCAGAGTGTCTCTTTTGGGTCACTTTTGCCGGTCACAAGCCCGGATAAAGGAGGAGGGTTGGAATTGTGACATAAAAAAAAACAAGAATCGACAGAAGAAAGTTCATTTGTAGTTCTAAACATATTTAGGGTGTTTTTCACTCACTTTCTTTCTCTCCCACAACGTTATTCCTCTCTCCTACAGTGTCCATCACAATTACATGCACATGGCCAATTATGCAAATTAGGTGATGACGTCATTTAGCGACTTCTAGCGACTTTTAGGACAGCCAATAGCTACTTTCCTTACTGAGGAGTTGGCAACACTGAACATTTACCAGTATGTGAATCTGTGCAATAGAAACTCTTGTTTTCATTGCAAAAAAAAAACCTATAATCAATACATTCCAACCCCTTACCTCATGTCGCCAAGGCAGCAAATTGAAGCTAACACATGCGTGCGCTACGCTGCTACTGGTGAGAATGGACAATTTACCCAAAAAAAACACGAATTTGAACTTTGGCCTTCTATGATGAACATGCGCACTCAGTCATAATTGAAATTGTCCAAAATCACCATTGAAAGGGTCACGTATCACACAGTACGATGTTGGGTTCTGAATCACTGTTCAAAGGTGGTGGAAAAAGTACCCAAATGTCTTGTAAAAGTAAAGATACCTTAATAGAAAATGACTCGAGTAAAAGTCACCCAGTAAAATACTACTTGAGTAAAAGTCTAAAAGTATTTGGTTTTAAATATACGTAAGTATTGTGGGGATCTAGATGTGATGCCTAGCTTAGAAAGAATGCATTAATGATTAAACATAATAGGTTTGTACTGTACTGATATAAATTGTTTCACATAACAAGCTGTGATTCATGTGAGGAATGTTAGGGAGTAGGGTGAGACAGACTTGTATTTCTCACAGACACATACACACTGCCTCTTTGTTAAACCGCGCTCAAGGACGTGTACTGCAAAAAGGTGCTGACTCTACAAGTTGTGATGATAACAACTTATGCCTGTCAGAGTATTTGAAGAAGAACTTAGAACAATGGATCAGTTCTCTGAGTGCCCTGCGTGGTATTTCAGTGGACCCGTATATACGAACATCATATTTACTATTGAAGTGTTTGCATTAATTAAAATACTAGTCTATTTTAGAAGACGTGTATTGACCTCTTTTGTTCCTAATACCAGATTTGAATTGACGCAACTTAACAGTATCAAAAGTAAATGTAATTGCTAAAATATACTTAAGTATAAAAAGTAAAAGTATAATTATTTGAAATTCCTTATATAAAGCAAACTAGACAGCATCATTTTCTTGTTATTTTTTATTGACGGATAGACAGGTTTCACACTCCAACACTCAGACTTCATTACATATGAAGCATGTGTGTTTAGTGAGTCCGCCAGATCAGAGGCAGTACGGATGACCAGGGATATTATCCTGATAAGTGCATGAATTGGACCATTTTCCTGTCCTGCTAAGCATTCAAAATGTAACAAGTACTTTTGGGTGTCAGGTAAATGTATGGAGTAAAAAGTACATCATTTTCTTTAGGAATGTAGTGAAGTAGAAAATGTAAGTAAAAGTAAAAGTTGTCAAAAATATAAATAGTAAAGTAAAGTACAGATACCCAAAAAAGCTACTTGTGTAGTACTTTCATGTATTTTTACTTAAGTACTTTACACCACTGTCAAAGGTAACGCGTGTGATTGGTAAGATGTTTCCACCTTTTAATGGGGGTGATTGTTGTCTGATCGGGTGCACCTATAGTATTTGGTTATATTATACACTCCTAAACACAAGGAAGCAGTGTTCAAAATTAGAACCTATACTTCTGCATCCGCCAATGGTCTTTACGAAGGAGTGCTTCCGGCTTCGTTCTTCCTCTTTTCGTCTGGATCGGGCCGTCACCATGGTATGAAGCTCGACCATGAATACACTTAGAAAAAAATCAACTGTAATCTTTTAAATATACATATACTTGCTACGTGCTAAATTACCTCATGTGTGAATGCAATGGTTAGGGACACATATAGCCCAATATTAGTGATTGTATCTAGATACCCAACAAAACACGAATGGTTACGTCGACGATATCGCTAGCTACTTTTGGTAATATAGCTAAGTTGGTATTGCCATTTTAGATGGGCATCATTGCTATGTATTTCACGTTTTTAAACATAGCAAATGTACTATTATAAGCTGGTCATCAAGTAGCTAAGTGGTGCGCGTTAAGGAGATACTGGTGTCCTAACTTGTAGAGCCAGCCGGTCACACCAAAGCGATTGTTGGGAGACTTAATTAAACACATGTTTGTGTCAACGCAAAACGTATGCACATGTAACTAGTATTTTGAACAAAAATGCCACATTGATGGGAAAAGGCTCCTGGCTGGGTAGCAGCCCCCTAGGTTGAATGGTAGTGACCTGACCACCATACTGGATATTTGTTGTGAAGCCCAGTGACTCATTCAGTAAATAAATACTAATGCAGTGGTACTGTAAATGACAATGTACCATACTACTGCACTGTTGGTGTACATCTTTCTAAATCAATGTTTGTGTGATTCAGGTGAACGTACCGAAGACACGCAGGACCTACTGCAAGAAGTGTAAAAGGCACCAGCTTCACAAAGTTACCCAGTACAAGAAGGGAAAGGATTCCCTCTATGCACAGGGTGAGTTTCAGCCTCAAAGTTAGCATTGGCAGATCGCATGGACTGCCATGTGTTCCAAGATCAATCACTGATATCTGTGTTTTAGGTAAGAGGAGATATGACAGAAAGCAGTCTGGTTATGGTGGACAGACCAAGCCTATTTTCCGCAAAAAGGTAAGCTTGCAAAGCTTTGTGTGTACTGGATACGTTACCAAAGGGTACCTTATCAGTTAACACCTTTCCCTGAGTAACCGCAACAGAACAGTTGTGTTATCATGGACAACCACAAGTGTGGGTCTGGGGCAACATAACTGTACTTTTGTGGTGACTCAAGGAAAGGAATTGAACCACTGGTAAAAGCTACCCTACAATGTATCCAATAATGTATACTACAAATGTAGACTGTTCATGCAGGCCGTTGTCAGCGAGGCTTGGCCTGTAGTGCCTTTGTCCTTTCCTAAAGTGTCTGCTAGAGAGAACTGAGATGGTTTGAGGCCCTGCTGTGTCTCCTCCATGGCAAGGTTATAGGTAAACCTCAGACAACTTAATGAATGCTTCTGTTTTTTTCCCTTTACTTTTACACCTACATATAAAACAGTATTGACTGTACCTTTTTACACCAGAAAAAAGTGAACTGTTTAGGGGTACTACTTTCAGTGTGCACTCGCACACTCACCCTCATGGATTTTAATGGAATGGACACTTCCTTCACCAATCCGATGGTTTGAAATGCATGACGGGGAGTGAACGAGTACACATTTAAAGGGTAGAGAATGAAAATACAGCCACTGCCCTGTAATTTTACATTGACATTTACGTCATTTAGCAGACGCTCTTATCCAGAGAGACTTACAAATTGTAATGTGTGCATGATTCCTGGATTATGTGGTACGTTTGTAACATGGATTCTCTCCTCAGGCTAAGACTACAAAGAAGATTGTGTTAAGGCTGGAGTGCGTGGAGCCCAACTGCAGGGCCAAGAGAATGGTGCCCATCAAGAGATGCAAACACTTTGAGCTGGGAGGTGACAAGAAGAGAAAGGTAAGCACAAACTCACTCCAACCAAGTAGTGTAACCCTGATGTTCCTTACCCATGTTTATTCTGCGTCTGGAAAGGGTTGTGTATTTGTTCCACAACCATAAAAAGCAATGTATAAGGTTTGTGGACGTCTAAATGACTTTTGGTGTTAATCATTTACATTTGACACGTGGTTCAACTATTGATACACCTCTGCACTCATTCACTTTAGATCGTTCTGCAATATAAGATTTAGTCAATTCCAAATATACATGCTTCCTCAGTCTTTGTGGTTAAGATACTGCTTAGAGAGGAATTGGCAATCGCACTCTGAAGACCTTCACTGGCCAAACGTGTGCTGCTCTGGACATGTTTGCCTTTTAGATATGCCCTAAAGAATGTTAACAAGTCCTATTCATTTAGCCTAGTTTTGTGAAATTGAAAGATGATTGGATTCGGAAGCAGTGTTTGTATTTTTCATTTTGGAAAGGTGAATGGTGCTGTTTGAGCTGCCTTGTAAACTCTTTTTATTTTCTCCTTTCAGGGCCAGGTCATCCAGTTCTAGGCTGTGGCTCAATCCATTGGGTGGACTTGTCACTTTTTTTCAATAAATGTATTGAAATTATACCTGCTGTCATCCCTCCTTAGCTGTACATTAGTGGTTAAAATGTGGCAATTAAAGATGGTGTATATTGATATGTAATTGGCCATCCAGTGAAATGTTTAGTTGCCATTAGAAATGTACAATGGCATCAACCAAAATCTGTTTTTAACTTTAACCACTCCAGGAAACACTAACTAAATAACCTTTCCAAAAGTAGTTAAAGCATGTTGCAGTACATTACAGTATAAATTCACTCTGGCGAATAACCATGCCTGAATCATATCCTCATGCGCAGTCTTACCCCATCAGAACCCAAAATATTACGTTTGTTTTAAAGCCATACAATCATTTTGATATGGATGGTCAGTCGTTGCATCCATAGCCTGGAATTTTGAGGGGTTACATTTCTCCAGCCCATCCCTAAGTTTACCCAAAAAGTTTGGCAGGGTGACTGCTTTGACTTGGTTTGAATTCCAGATTGCCCCTCTAATGTGAACATATCAAGACCACTGTTGTACCAAAGTAAAACATTGATTTCAATCAGGTAAAATTGTTACAGTACTGCTGTTATTTGATATCTGAACATTCAGGTGTTAGCCAGCCAGTAAATCCCCCTTTTGTTACCAGAACATGGACAATTTACGAACTGATTCCATGCTTTATTTTATTTTACATTTAAAGTAGCTTTAAAAAAACTCTGGACTTGAGGTTCAATCATTCTAGGGCAGTATGCCAACAAATGACCTATTCAAGAGGGCCTTTACATGGCTCTTTAGCAAGTAAACACCATCTAGAATTAAAACATAAAAAGTAAATGTAACTTTAGCTGTGTTTACACAGGCAGTCCAATTCTGATATTTTTTCACTTGACCAATCAGATCAGCTCTGAAAAAGTTGTGACGACCAATTAGTGGGGAAATAGAGCAATTAGGCTGCTTGTGTAAATGCAGCCTTTCTGTGCCTGTGAGCCAGGGCCCATATGCTTGTCTGCTAGCCAGACCATACTAAAGAACAGTTGTGTGTTGGACATGTCCTTCCATAATTGCCATTGGGTCTTGGAAGTCACCCTTGATGGGTGTGACAGTTGTCAGTTCTGTGCCAGAAGGGTTAACATCCACTACCAGTTTGCTGAGGAGGGTCTGGACCCCTAGCTCCTTGTAGCTGGGCAGGACCTGGTGACACACTGGGGGTGGCAGATCTTCCAGCTAGGCACTGTGGCCAGGGTGTGGGGGAAGCCTTGGACTGCCGATCTCCTGCTTGTCCAACACTGCCAGAGCCAACTGGCCACCAGACAGGGATATCTCCCACACCGGATTTCAGATCATTTTATATATATAAATACATATAAATAATGATATTTACTGTAGGGCACTTACACAATGAAAGCTACAAAGCCACTGAATGCAACTTTTGTGTACCCTGCTTTATAGTCAGTATCATATTGCCAGTAGATGGCAGTATATACAAAGACATTGAATGTGTGCTAAAATAAGTAAATATTTGATGTGGCTACAGGTTAATGCCGTATGGTGGAATGCATATTACACTGAACAAAAATATAAACACAACATGTAAAGTGTTAGTCCCATGTTTCATGAGCTGAAAAAAAAGACCCCAGAAATGTTCCATATGCACAACAAGTTTATTTCTCTCATTCTGTGCACAAATGTTTACATCCCTTTTACTGAGCATTTCTCCTTTTCCAATATAATCCATCCACCTGACAGCTGTGGCATATCAAGAAGCTGATTAAACAGCATGATCATTACACAGGCACACCTTGTGCTGGGGACAATAAAAGGGCACACAGTTTTGTTACACAACACAATTCCACAGATGTCTCAAGTTTTGAGGGAGCGTTCAATTGGCATGCTGTCTGCAGGAATGTCCACCAGAGCTGTTGCCAGAGAATTTAATGTTCATTCCTCTACCATAAGCTGCCTCCAACGTCATTTTAGAGAATTTGGCAGTACGTCCAACCAGCCTCACAACTGCAGACCACGTGTAACGACGCCAGCCCAGGACCTCCACATCCGGCTTCTTCACCTGTAGGATCGTCTATGACCAACCACCTAACAGCTGATGAAACTGTGGGTTTGCACAACCGAAGAATTTCTGCACAAACTGTCAGAAACCGTCTCAGGGAAGCTCATCTGCCTGCTCGTCGTCCTCACCAGGGTCTTGACCTGACTGCAGTTTGGCGTCGTAACCGACTTCAGTAGGCAAATGCTCACCTTCGATGGCCACTGGCACGCTGGAGAAGTGTGCTCTTCATGGATGAATCCCGGTTTCAACTATACCGGGCAGATGGCAGACGTGTGTGCGAGTGGTTTGCTGATGTTAACGTTGTGAACAGAGTGCCCAATGGTGGCAGCGGGTTTTTGGTATAGGCAGGCATAAGCTACGGACAACAAACACAATTGCATTTGATCAAGATCCTTATTGTAGGGACGTTCATCCCCTGCCATCACCTCATGTTTCAGCAGGATAATGTATGGTCCCCATGTCGCAAGGATCTGTAAACAATTCCTGGAAGCTGAAAATGTCCAAGTTCTTCCATGGCCTGCATACTCACCAGACATGTCACCCATTGAGCGCGTTTGGGATGCTCTGGAACAACGCGTACGACAGCTTGTTCCAGTTCCCGCCCATATCAGCAACTTCGCACAGCCATTGAAGATGAGTGGGATAACATTCCACAGGCCACAGTCTGCAGCCTGATCAACTCTATGCCAAGGAGATGTGTGGTCACATCAGATACTGACTGGTTTTCTGATACACGCCCCTACCTTTTTTTAAAGGTATCTGTGACCAACAGATGCATAACTGTATTCCCAGTCATGTGAAATCCATAGATTAAGGACTAATTCATTTCAATTGACGATTTCCTTATATGAACTGTAACTCAGTAAAATCTTTGAAATTGTAGAGTTTTTTTGTTCAGAGTATATGTCATTTCTTGGGCGTTTCATGATTTTTAAGCCCTGTGTTATGGTGTAGCCGCATGTGGGTATAATATTAGTTGCATTCAACTATTAGCACGAGTAGTCTGACATATACATACCACAGAACAGAAGTTGCATATGCCCTAGTTTTGTGTTGCGTTTGTATTATTCTCCATTGAGCATTACCATGACAGAGCAGAGGTGTACTACCTTGGCAGTACGATAGCCCTGCCTACCCAGCTGGTCCTGACTGATGAGGATGACCTGTATGTTCTGCAGCAGCTGCTTGGACTGGGGACAGATGTCCCTCAGGTCGTTGGACATCAGCAGAGGGGACCATGATGGCCCAAAATACCATCCAAGACTACTGTTAGGCCAAAGTTCCCAATCACCAGCTGAGGAAGAAACACTGTCAATGTCAGTCAGATACTGTTCAGGACAGTACATGGGTTATGGCAGGCACAGCTGGTGTGAGTAAGATGAGGAGTTGATGATTACTCAGACTAGTTTTACTGTTGCTCTGAATGCCATCCACCGAGTAGCAGGAAGTTCACTTAAAATTCCCCATAGAAAACAATGGGCATTGGAAAGTTAATTTAATTTAAAACTGAATTAATTGACCCCAACCCTTTATACATAGCCCATAGTGAAGAGTGAAACAGTCACAGTACCATGCCAGGGTCATTCCAGCCCCTGGGACAATGATGTCCTGATGGTCGGCAGTCCAGTCCAAGATGGTTTTCACACTGCCACAGGAGTCATATACATCCGCAAAGTTACGCAAATGGTTGCAGGCCTTCCGTTTGGCAGCATAGTCTGGCTGTAAGTACATCATTGACCATTATTTTTTTTTTTTTTACATGTAACCTTGCAAAACAAATTGTGACTGTGTCCTGACTAATATTGAATTAATTCGATGTCTTGTATATTTGGCAATTTTGTGACCTATTATGAAGAAAAGCAATTTTCACCTCCCTCTTTCTTACCACATGGAATAGCCTGTCATACAATGGCCACTCACATACTTCTCCCAGTTTTGTTCAGTGCTATTGACATGTTTTTGTAACCTGGACAAAAACACAAAAGTCATAGCATTAGTACCACCTCAATTTAGTAGATATTGAATTCAAATTTGTATTGACATTTCATATATATTTAAATCACTATAGACCTGTCCTTCTCCTAGTCAAGTACAATTCATGTAGCACACATCAAATTTGAGCAGATCCACGCCCCAGTCAGCAAAGGTCTGAGCATCTACACTGAGTATACAAAACATTAGGTTATGCGCTTTCCTTGACAGACTGACTAGGTGTATCCAGGTGTGTGTATGTGTGAGGGGGGGAATGGACCTGTATACACTATCACAAATAACAATATTTTACAATAGATAGGTTTAAGAACAGGTTTGTCCTGTAAGCAACATCACTGAAGAAAGTGGATACACACAGTTGCAGGAGCACATTGAAACCAGTAGATGGAGTGTTGCATAATGCATACAACCCATTTTCATGGTGGTTTGAAACCTTTGGTGGTTTAGCGCCATGGTAACAGCAAAATGCACTTTCTGTTTCCTCATAGTTATGTGGCACTCTTTGCAATGTGAATGATGTAATTAGTAAACAACAAGCTTACAGTCCCATTGGGTAGGGTTGGCTATCACTTGAGGAAGGACATTGTTGTGTGAAAGTGACACAGAGTGTGAGATAGAAAATCACAGGGAACTAGGCTACATTGGAGATAGATCTAACATAAGCAGTACATCACCAGGTGTATGTGGATAATACAAGTTGTCCCCCAATAACGGTCATGTTCAGTAGGCACAAAACCAAAGAAAATGTCCTGAAACGGAGTGAAAAAGGTTGTTTTAGTTTTTCATTGCAAAATGTTTTGCTACCGTGTGCCCTAATGAGCATGACCCCACTGTAGGCTATACATTCACAGTCTGCCAGTTTATTGATGCCCCCTGGGAACCGCTTGGGGTCTGCCTGTAGGTGTACCTGGGTGTCATGTTGGTGGCTGGGCCAACAGTCATCGATGAAGACGTACTCATAGCCAGCCTCCTTCCAGCCCTCCATCACATCTGCCATCTGCATGTAGAGATTCTCACCAGCAGAACAGGAGGGACAGCCAGCGGACAGTTCATATTGTTCATATTAACTATGCCTTAATGTGCCAATTAAGAAAAAGTGAATGTGTAAGGTCGTTTATGCCTGATGATCTGCATGCAGCTAATGATATGTTGATCATTGAGGTGTTATGTACTGCTCTGCAAGTAAGGTTGATTAGTATGAATGTAGAATCAACCCACTCACATTACTGCCTACAGCTACTGTACTTCCTGCTATGAGTTTGAATTGAGGTGACATCAACATTGTCAAAGCTAGTTTAGTGGTGTCAATTTTATTTCCTTTGCTTTCAATGTTTGAGTCTGGAAAATTGTAATTTACGCGTAGAGTTGAGGGTGCAACGCACTGCAGCCAAATATCTTACCTGATGCAATTATTGAGGTCCGTGTCACAGTCGACATTGCCCATGAATCTCTCCAAATGCAGTCAACCCATTTCAGGCTTGAGTGCGAGACCCAGGGCCGGCCCTCCCATTAGGCAAGATTAGGCGGTCGCCTATGGAGGCACTTGAATTTGGGGCGGCCCTGATTGGCTACTACACCGCCGGTGGTGCCCCAGCCACCAGCTCATAGCCGTTGATGCAGTTCCCACCCCATTCCCACTTCTCCCGAAGTTCACTCCCACTATCCTTGGTAGCTATGGTGATACAGTATGTGTTTTTATGGGATTATCCAATTGTACAACATGAATCTTCCAATTAAGCTATTGTATTGTTTTTTAATGTTTGTGTGTGATGAAGACTGTTAGTGATTAACGCAGTAGCCTAACCTAGCATGTTAATGTTAGCTAGCTACTAGTGGAAATCATTTCAGCTAAAAGTAAGCTACCAAATTTGCTACCATGTCTAAGAGACAAAAACTATCAGGAAGTGAAAAGAAAAAAGAGGCACAATCTGTAAGCCAAAGAGATTCGCTGCTGAAGTTTATCAGCATGCAGCAATGTGGAGGTGTGGAGAACAAGCCTCAGAGGACAGGCCGTTCATTCGCCGAGACGGACAAGCCCCCGTTCGCTGGTTCTAGCAGCGAAGAGGGCGAACCCGGAGGAGTTCGAGCCATCCAATTCCACCGATGATGACAACTCTCTGGGTGGACAAGAACAGGTGGTTGCACCAGGCCTAGCCACACCTCCACACAGAGCACTTCCTGAAGTTTAGTGAACTGCTTGGTGCAACGGGGACGGGCTTGACAGAGTTGCTCATCTCAAAACTACAGGAACATGGCATCGCCATCATGGACATGAGAGGGCCTTTTTTTGTGCCATGCAGTGCGCACTTGCGGAACCTGGTTCTCTCTGATGCAGCATCGTGTTGCTTGGAGGCGGCTGAGTTAACACCATCCAAGAGATTTATACATTTTAATCCGGATATACAGTACACACCGCTGGGATGTGCTGAAAAGCACGTAAAAGATGGACTCACAGTGAAATCCCTCAGAACCACGAGATGGGTGGAGGCTATGAAACCTGTGCGTTACAAAATCAACCTCCGAGAAGCAGTGCATGCTTTTGCTGCCAGGGAGGCCAGGCGAGTCAACTTGTCCTTGAATAAAAGGTAAGCGTTGATCATAAACTCGCATTCATTCTATTACCAAGTAATGTTTAAGATTATCCAATTATTTAGTCGCCTGTTTACTCTGTAATTTTTTGTCTTAAATTCTCTCATCGCTGATTGCAATGGAGTACCACAGCAGGGGAAAGAGGCCACTCTAGGCGGGCCACGAAATTAAGAAATGCTGAAACTGATGTTGGATTGTGGGGTTGTGCCATGTGTGATAACAGGTGTTATATTATTAGTAAGAAATTGTTTCCTACTATAGCCAGCTGCCTGCATAGTGATTGCAACTTTGTAACTCTCCAATGCAGGGGTTAAAGTAAAATTCATTTCTGCCCCGTAAGGGACATCCTATATGTGCATACCAACATTTTTTATGTGCCTAATCATAGAATTACATATAGAATTGGAGCCTATTTCTTCCTATTCAAAACCGTGGTAGGCCTAAATGTTTGACAAACACAATTATGCTATCCATAGATGTCGGTATAGCCAAATCCTCCAATACTGTCGCATGCACTCCTTAAATACCTCAGTGTCAGGGAAGGGCTTGGTGTGTTTGGGTTCAAATTGAGTGAGGGTATCCCATACCCTTTGTTAAAGAAAAGGGCAAAAAGGATAACTATTGTTAGCTTTATATTTACAGTGCATTTGGAAAGTATTCAGACCCCTTCACTTTTTCCACATTTTGTTACAGCCTTATTCTAAAATGGATTAAATAGTTTTTTTCCCCCTCATCAATTTACACAAAATACCCCATAATGACAAGGCAAAAACAGGTTTTTAGAAATGTTAGCAAATGTATAAAAGAAAATTATAAAAAAATATCACGTTTACATAAGTATTCAGACCCTTTACTCAGTACTTTGTTAAAGGACCTTTGGCAGCGATTACAGCCTTGAGTCTTCTTTGGTATGATGCTACAAGCTTGGCACACCTGTATTTGGGGAGTTTCTCCCATTCTTCTCTGCAGATCCTCTCAAGCTCTGTCAGATTGGATGAGGAGTGTTGCTGCACAGCTATTTTCAGGTTTCTCCAGAGATGTTCAATCGGGTTCAAGTCCAGGCTCTGGCTGTGCCACTCAAGGACATTGAGACTTGTCCCGAAGCTACTCCTGCGTTGTCTTGGCTGTGTGCTTAGCGTTGTTGTCTTGTTGTCCTTCGCCCCAGTCTGAGGTCCTGAGCCCTCTGGAACAGGTTTTCATCAATGATCTCTCTGTACTTTGCTCCATACATCTTTCCCTCGATCCTGACTAGTCTCTCAGTCCCTGCTGTTGAAAAACATCCCCACAGCATGATGCTGCCACCACCATGCTTCACCGTAGGGATGGTATTGGCCAGGTGATGAGCGGTGCCTGTTTTCAATCTTGGTTTCATCAGACCAGACAATCTTGTTTCTCATGGTCTGAGAGACCTTTTGGTGCCTTTTGGCAAACTCCAGGTGAGCTGTCATGTGCCTTTTACTTAGGAGTGGCTTCCGTCTGGCCTCTCTACCATAAAGGCCTGATTGGTGGAGTGCTGCAGAGATGGTTGTCCTTCTGGAAGGTTCTCCCATCTCCACAGAGGAACTCTGCAGCTCTGTCAGAGTGACCATCGGATTCTTGGTCACCTCCCTGACCAAGGCCCTTCTCTCCAATTGCTCAGTTTGGCCGGGCGGACCAGCTCTAGGAAGGGTCTTGGTGGTTCCAAAGTTCTTCTATTTAAGAATGATGGAGGCCACTGTGTTCTTGCGGACCTTCAATGCTGCAGACATTTTTTGGTACCCTTCCCCAGATCTGTGCCTCGACACAATCCTGTCTCGGAGCTCTACGGACAATTCCTTCGACCTCATGGCTTGGTTTTTCCTCTGACATGCACTGTGGGACCTTATATAGACAGGTGTGTGCCTTTCCAAATCATGTCCAATCAATTGAATTTACCACAGGTGGACTCCAATCAAGTTGGAGAAACATCTCAATGATGATCAATGGAAACAGGATGCACCTGAGCTCAATTTCGAGTCTCATAGCAAAGGGTCTGTATACTTATGTAAATAAAATCTGTTTTCTATTTTTAATACATTTGCAAAAATGTCTAAAAACTTGTTTTCGCTTTGTCATTATGGGGTATTGTGTGTCGATTGATGAGGAACAAATGAATTTAATCAATTCGAAGAATAAGGCTGTAACGTAACAAAATGTGGAAAAAGTCAAGGGGTCTGAATACTTTCCAAACGCACTGTATATTTAGAAATAAATACATTAAAAAGGTATCCAGATTATATAAAGCGTTCTATAACAATGCTTAACGCAGTGATGCCTTATGGTAGAAACAAGCTTTAAAATGCCCGTGAAAGAGGTGACTGATGCATATGGGGATATATTGATTCCTCTCTGTGACATTTTGAAGTTGAGCCGCAGCCTATAATATTCAAGGACACAAACAAATTGACTTTGCCTTTCTGTCTCTATTAATTGAGCTTTTCACTTTCTGAAAAGAGAAGATGTTTGTTTAAACCCAGGCAGCTTTTAGGGAAGCACTTCTGTTGTTGGGTTATGCAATGGACGAGTAGCTAGCAGTTAAAGCGTACATTTTTCTGTGTCCCAACATTTACTTTTGATTGCAATGTGTTTTTCCCTAATCAACACACACAGAAATATAAAAACAAATTTAATAGAGACATTGGAGATTTTATCAATGTAATCAGATTGAAAATATTAGGCTGTTATTGACATTGAACTGATTATATAGCCTACTAACCACATGTTAAAATGTGTACAGTAGGCCTATGAATTGGGCTGCTATTATTGGCTGTTCCTCCGACTTTTACCTTAGAAAAAAATTGGCCCAAGGCCAAACCTATTGCCGACATAGTTTAGCAGGGATAGGAGTGGGGTGACCATTTTTAGTCTCGCCCAGGGCGGCAGAACGTCCCGGGCCGGCCCTGGCAAGACCATTGTCCATAGATCGAACTGGACTGATAAAAGCACTGATTGTAAATAGTAGCATAACTGAATTGTTCATGACAAATTGTTCACACCCCTCTCGTTGGCAGAGAGAACATTTTGCAGGTTTAAAGCTTATTTCATGCAATTCTACACATTCTGTAATGGGGGGGGGGCAGAGAACATTTAGCAGTTTTAAAGCTCATTTTCTTGCAATTTTATACATTTTGCCATTTCAAATGTGTATTCATGTGATAGCTAAGTGACTCAAACATTACAACAAAATCTATGGGCTAAAACACCAATCAAAAAAATGTTTAGCTGACATGGGCTAGTTGATCTGGACATTTCTGACAAGTTATAAATAGCTCCTTAAATTTTTTAAAAAAGATGTGTACTACGTCATCACGCACAGCCTCTTATCCCCAACAAGTCAATTTGATTGAAACACATCTCTGGTGAGAAAATGTGTGTGATACAAACTTGGGTCCGCCCTCCCGGAAGATTGACAGCAACATGGACCACTAATATCATTAGCGCTTTAAACTAGTCAA